CTTGCAACAGTATGTAACTTCGAATTATTAAATTACTGATCAAATAATATTCACTGAAAACACAATATTGTTTTTATCACAATATTGAGTTAACCTCATTGTACATACTCTTATTATCACAAATCTAAGGTTTTAATAAGTAAAATATATAAGTAATCGCACATATTATTTTTCAAGATTTCAACTCATTACGGCAATAGAAAAATTAATGTTAGATGTATGATTTCGTTGGCAAAAGAAATGATTTTCTTATAACTATTCATCTACGGAATTATTATTATTATTTTTTTATCAAACAGTATCAATAATAATTACATCAGCTTATTTAACATGCATAAATAGTTACACATTTTATGTATGAGTTGGTATAATACGAGTGTGCGCATATGGATTGTAAGATTAATCAAGAATGTATCGTGTGGTTAAAATTTGAAATAAAATTTCTGCCGCCATATTTCGTTCATGATTTCGCATGTCCAAGTCGAATGCTTATCTCCAATCGTTCATCAGCTTTGTTTAATTGTGGAAAATAAACACTTTCTTCGGTTACTAATCATATTATTTAGCGCCTGCCGAGCGATGAAATAATACATTGCCTTTGGAATTGTTGTACTTTCTTATACCGACTTATAGATCTGCAAATTCAGGCATTTGTGTAAGCGAAGCTTTTGCGATAAAAATTTAGATAAGCATTTGTACTTCTGCATTAAAGTGTTATTTGAAATAAAGAAAGTGACAATTTTATCTTATCAAATTGACTCTTGAAGTATTAGATTTTGTCTCTGTAAATGTTAACTTTCATACATTTCTACCAAAAACAACAAACAATGTATTTTATTGCAAATTATAAAACGTTGTAAAAAATAAAAAAAATTATACACCCTCTCTATTGGTATCTGTCAAATCATTTATTTATTGTCCAACATTGTCAAAAAATGTGAGTAAGATTAAAAAAAAAATATATATATATATATATATATATAAGTGTTGGAAAACATAATAAAAGTAATATTATGACGAACTACTATTATTATCTGCATAATAAGCTATAAGTAGTCCAACGTCAATAAAATACGTCGATCAAGTAATTTAATATCTTTAATATTATTACATCTTCTAATTATTGATATTTAGAATTATCTTCTTGTTAACCAATTCAAATATTGCTCTAAAAAAAGAAAAACGTAAAAAAAAAAGAAAGAAAATTTATTAAATCAAATTAATTTCTATATTATCTTTGACAATATAAAAATATCATAGATCCTTTAACGATATATTAATTTTAAAAATTTTAAAATGCTCATTGTAACATTGGTTATTAATTAACAAATCAATGAAATTCATAATTTTACCAAATATTCTGCGAATGGCATTTTACAAGTTCCTTGCGAGATTCAACACTTTTTTTCTTTCTTGATAGCGAAGTAAATTTTATACCCATTTTATGCCGAAATGGAATATTCCCATAATTCTACATACGCCAAGGTATGACGATTTTTTTCTCTTTCTTTTTTCTTCTTTTTCTTTTTCTTTTTCTTTTTTTGTTTGTTAAAGTAAACTTAAGCAACGTCTAAAAGAGGGGTTTAAAAGTTTCCCCGATAACAAACGCCGTTGACAAACGCTCTAAAGTTCAAACATACCTTTTCAAATAAAAATAACAAATTGCTGCCGTCGCTCGGGATACCAGAATAGGCACGTCATAAAAGCAACGCCGAAAACTTTGACGAACAACCTCGTGCAACACGTAAGCTCGGACCTTGAGAGCCAAGTCGAGCCGAGCCGACCTTACGGCATCCCCGACATGTGTGACGTTGGCGCTCTCGGCTAAGGATATAAAGATGCCGCTACCGAAATACGCGGATGAGTTCCAGCGAAGTGATAATAATGCGTTGGCTTCCGTCGCAAGCGCGACGTAAACGGGGGGAAGGGTCGCGGGCGAGCCGAGGCTATTAAAGTGGCCTAACGAAGAGAAATTCCTCGGCCGGGACAGACAGGGAGTCGACCTGGGGATTCCGCTTATTCGTAATACGAGCGGGACGCCAGTTTCTTCGCCGCTTCCCCAGAACCGCGCTAAATGCGTTCCTCGGGACGCCCGCGCGCAATTACGAGGCGGCGATTGTCGCGGTGGGGCCGAGTGCCGAACGGCCCGAGGAATCGACGCGATGGATCCGATCGATCGAGCGGGACGAGCTCTTTCACCGCCACTCTCCCTTGCGCTTTATGCTCGCGCGGTGTCCACGACGCTGTTGGCTTTATAGTCGATAAACTTTTACTGCGCACTGGCGAAATGTAAAATTGAGCGGCGAATCGGGGGACGTTATTAATTGCCGTAAAATTTAAACGACAATGCACGCACGCACGCACGCACGCACCAACTCACCGTTTGATTTATCAACTGATAGTCGAGCGAGTTAATTCCTTGACTTTTAAAGATGTTTATTCCGGCATCGGTTTGCCAAAAAATGACTAAATCATAATTATTAATCGTTAACGCGTGATCGTCACTATTTAGCGTTTTAATAAATTATCCTGGGCTTTCCAAGTTTCATTCGGACTTCGATCGCTGCATAATAATAATATTAATCGTTAAAACAACGAAACGTTCCTTCTCCCACATTCTTCGTTTCAGGGGACAAATAAATATTGCAAATATTAAATAAATTCCTTTGGTCAAGCGAAATACCAAGCTTTTCTTCTTTTTTTTTTTTTTTTTTTTTACAAGTTCGCGGATGTATTTTGCAATCAGTCTCGAACGCACTGCGTACGCGTAAAAATTACTTTTTATAAACTTTACACTGAATTTAATTTATAATTGATTGACATTTTATAGCTGCGTACGTATATATAATGGTTATTTACTTCGTCGCTTATATGAATATTAAGAATTTCTAGTTACAAAAAGAAAAAGAATTGGAAGAAAAAAGATGAAAATAAGCATTGTAATACAGCCTAAATACCCAACTATTTGCCTCTGCGAATATATAAAAATATCGGCTATTATCAATGAATGTAAATCTATTGGACCTCTTAAATCACATTCTCTTTCAAAAATGCGACTTTAAAAAATTTGTCAATAAAAAGCGTTGATTAGCTAAGCATCGTTTTTTACTCGAATCTTGACAAAGTCCCGATCGTACGTACGAGCAATCAAATTCCATTATCAATCGACCGACTAGCCTTTTCTATGCGCGATATTTATATTTTCCTTAGATTTCCTAGCGACTCCAAGATTCCCCGGAGATTTGGTGCAGCTCGAGACGACGGAAAGCTAAAGCTAATGGACGGACCGCTGGTGTTGGACGGAAGGATGGATCCGTGCGTGTGTAAAAGATTGACGTCGCGATGCGGAGAGCCACTCGACGGACGTGACGGAGTGCGCCGAGGGTGTCACGTGACGACGGAGACACGAACGGCATGCGTACGCGAGACGCATCATTAGCGAGACTATCATTAGCCGGCAAGGCCGGGCACTAAGGTAGAGAGATACGGATCGAGAGAGCGCAATTGAACGCGAGATAAAGAGATAGTGCGCGTGCGTGCGTGCGTGAATATAAGCGCGTGTGCGCATATACGCCGAGTTATATATATATATATATATATATATATATATATATATATATATATATATATATGCGTGTGT